CGAGAGCTTTAAGCCGTCCAGGAATGTACAGTTGGCCTAGCAGTGTGGTCGGGTCATCCTTCCCGATGGGACTTCCCAACGCCCCCACAGTCCTTGGGACCCTTGGACAATGGTTTAGACATGTCCCTGGCTCTCACCCCCCATCTTTGGATGCGATTCGGAAACCCTTGGGGCGATTGGCTAGGGCAATGGACGCTGTTGAATGCTGCGCCAGATAGATAGCTGTGTGATGATGATTTCAGGTCTGCTTGACCGCGACCATGGGCAAATGAACCCACAGTGACCAACACTCTGCCATTCCGCCCGGGAAGATCAGTGCGATGACAGCAAGAACCCACGCAGTCGCATGCAATATTTGCGATCAAAATATGCCGAGCCCTGTTGCGTTGCGTGTCAAGAGAACATGGATCGGATGTTCTACGTCATGCCTGGGGGTTATCAGCAAGACAAAGGGTTGGCACCCGGTTCCGACCATGCGGTGAGATCAACGACATCGTCACACTTTGAATAGAAATACAGATGTCCACGGGTACAAGTTTGACAAAAGGGGGTCCAAGGTGACTCTCTAGGCCAAAAGTAACGAGCCGAAAAAAAACAGCCCAGGAAACAAGCCAACGTGGATGATATCCATCGTTTGCATCTACGGGCGATCCGTCCATCCCATTTGGGACATGATTTGGAATATTTGACTTTTGGGGGCGGTTTCAGAGTTGGTGGAAGAGGAAATAAGATGTGGCTGCGTCGAAGTATCGACTGTTGATTTTTCCCTTTCTTCTTCTCTTCTCTTCTTTTTCTCTTCTCCTCCTTTCCTCCTTTCCTCCTTTCCTCTCCTCTCTCTCATTCTGGCCCCTTCGTCTGTTCTTCCTATAAACCGGGTTGTTTTGTAGAAATGTAATTTTATCTGCTGTAAAGTCCCGGTTTGACGGAATGTTCTCTTATCGCCTGCTAGCTCCACTGCACGTAGACATACATACATATAATAATATACATGTAAGCTATTGGCCATGTTGATTCCAGAAGCTCATTGCCCAGTATGAATCTCGGGATTTACCAAATCCAACCAAATCCAACCTGCGTCACATTTGCAATGTTCAGGCCGCATCTCCAGCGATTTAATCTATCTACATTAGACGTCACCCCGTCCCAAGAATCCAGACCACATGTTGCAAGGAGAAACTGCTTAACAACATCCTGGATCGCCCCACAGCAGCAGGATAATCATGTTGTGTTGTGGGGTAAGCTAAAACCAGCGTATACGGACCTACTTTTGGCTGCGAGCGGCGGGCAGCCGAACAGGCGGGGGCGCGGAACTGGGAGGCAGCATCAACATTTGAGTGACAGACTGACGGGCGTCAGTTCCAGGGTTGGCGGCAGGAGACTCGACCAGGGAGAGTCAACCAAGGTTATAACAACTGTAGGACACTGGAATGGGCCGAGGCTCGCGCATCTTCCATGCGCCGGCACATGCCAGCTTGCAATCCATCCATGGGGTTTCAAGCACTGGCCGGAGAAATGTGACTGAACCTTGCACTCGTAGTTCCACTTGGCGCGAGTTGGAAAAAAGGTGCTGACACCGGCTCCGCAAGCAGCGACACTAAACATACAGATTGGGCGAATTGGATCTTAGGACCTCTGGAACGAAGAATCTGAGATCGTATTTTGAGTTGCGCGACTTGCAGGACGGTGGTTATTGGCGGGTGGTGGGCGCGGAGGCGCTGACTTGGGCATCTGCAGTTGGCCAGTCCGTTTTTTGCAGAGCTTTGTCGATGGATGCAATTCCAGGAATAAACAAACCACCAGCAGTTGGAGAAAGTGTGGGAATTTCCCCCCCCCCCCCTCCCGGAAATCTGAACCTCGGCCATTTCGTTGCAGCCCCGAGTCAAACTTCGAGATAACGCACTTGGACGTGTGGAACTCACCCCCCCCCGCGGCCGAACCGTTGCTTGACCAAAGCGTATCTGACCCAGCCAGCCAATCGCCGCCCCTTGGGATGGCCCGAAATGCAGACTCCCTCATAGGCTCCAATCCACGGTCCAATCCACGGTCCAATCCACGGTCCAATCCACGGTCCAATCCACAGTCCAATCCACAGTCCAATCCACAGTCCAATCCACAGTCCAATCCACAGTCCAATCCACGGTCTACGGTCTACGGTCTACGGTCTACGGTCTACGGTCCAATCCACCCCCTATTCCGTTTTCTCCCCCCCCCCCCCCCCCCCCCCAAAAAAAAAAACGCCACAGAGCACATATGCGGATGGATGTCGTTGGATGCGTTGGATGTAGGATCCTACCATACATGGTGCGGTGCAAGCGGAGTCCAGTTGACGGCGTACACCCGCCCGGTCCCTGGTTCGCGCGAACGTGTGGCTCGCCGCGGGGGAGGAATATGCGTTCGTGCTCGGGCTCGTGTCGGTTCCAATGTCTGTCTGCCTGTGGCTTTGGCCTTACCGGGAGTCCAATCAGGTGCATGTGGAGTGGATGTGGATGTGCTGAATGGCTCCCCCGCGGCGCCATGTTGTTGTCTTTTCCTGTTTCTCTTCCAACTTTTCTTTTCTTCACTCATTGATTCGTTCGTTTCTTCGCTTCTATAGAACATTTCATTCCTCTCACCCTCAACATCCCTTGTCGTCTTCGTCTCCTCTCGTCTCCTCTCCTCCTCTCCTCCTCTCCTTTCTCTCTCTCCTCTCCTTTCTCTCCCTCCTCTCTCCCTCCTCTCTCCCTCCTCTCTCCCTCCTCTCTCCCTCCTCTCTCCCGCTCCCGCTCCCGCTCCCGCTCCCTCTCCCACGCGCCCCCTCAATTCTTCCTCTCTTGTACAAGCATAATTGCAAACTCATCGCCCCGCGCGGAGAAAAGCCGTCCACTCTCTGCAGAGGCCTCTGCCGCTGCCAATCCAACCCGCTCCCTCGCTCCCTCCCACGTCCGTTCTCTCTCGACGCAGAATACAACAAAACACAAAAAACACAAAAGAGCATCGCCATGTTCTCCCAAAACCCAATGACCGCTGCCGGTCAGGCCTATGCCGGCCCCCCGCCAAAGGGAACCCCGGCATCAGTCATTATCCCGGGCACCGAGAAACCTGGTCGTACCCCTGTATATCGCCATTGGAAGATTGGTAGCGGCGAGCTGCTCAAGACCCTGGACCCGCTGGTATGTGTATCTCTGTAGCCTACTCTATAGATCTCTCGGTGGAAATGCGCTGACAGGCATGCCAACTGGGCTCAGGTCCTCACTGCCCATGATATCTTCGAGTCTGCCGGTATGTCCGTCAACAATAGAGGAAATTAAAATAGGAAAAATAGAAGCGCAAAAAAAATAAATAAAAAAATAAAATAAAATAAAAATAAAATAAAAATAAAATAAAGATGAAAATAAAAAAATTATATTTCAATGCTGATTCTTCATCACTAGCCAATCGATATCCCAAAAACAACTGCCTCGGATCGCGGCCGTGGGACCCTGCAAAGAAGGAATTCGGCCCCTATCAGTGGATGGATTATCGGACCGTGCAGAAACGGCGGGCAGCCCTTGGGGTTGGCCTGGTGGAGCTCCACAGTCGCATTGGCGTGCAGGGGAAGCAATACGGTGTTGGAGTCTGGTGCCAGAACAGACCGGAATGGCAGCTTACAGGTGTGTGTGTACCACCTCCTCTTGATATGTATGCTACGGGAGACGTTCGGGAGGCTTCTAACATTCCACCCCAGATTTGGCGTGCATGTCTCAATCGCTATACACCGTCTCACTCTACGAAACCCTCGGCGCAGACGCCACTCAATACATCATCGACAACGCTGAGCTGACCTGCGTAGTAACCTCGCTCCCCCACATCGCAACCCTCATCGAGCTGAAGCCGCAGCTCCCCTCCCTAAAACTCATCGTCTGCCTCGACCCCCTCGACGCCGGCGAACAGCCCGGCTTCTCAAAGCGTGACATCCTCTCCCCCCTCGCTGCTGCAGCCGGCGTCCAGATCTTCTCCCTCACCGAAGTCGAGACCCTCGGCGCCTCCCTCAACCGCCCCGCCAACCCCCCTTCCCCGGCCGACATCATCACAATAAACTACACCTCCGGCACCACCGGCAACCCCAAGGGCGTCGTCCTCACGCACGCCAACGCCGTCGCCGCTGCCTCCTCCGGCCTTTCAACCTGCATGCAATTCCCCACAGACGTCTCCTGCTCGTACCTGCCGCTAGCACACATCTTTGGCCGGCTCATGGAACACATGCACCTCTGGAGTGGCGCCGGCATAGGCTATTTCCACGGCAACGTCCTCGAGCTAGTCGACGACTTCAAGCTGCTGCGGCCGACCGTCCTCCCCTCCGTGCCGCGCCTGTACAACCGCTTTGGCAGCGCCATCCGCGCCTCCACGGTCGAGGCTCCAGGCTTCAAGGGCGCTCTGTCACGCCACGTCGTCGCGACCAAGACGGCAAACCTTGTGCACGCCCCTCCCTCGTCCGTGACCAACAAACACCTCCTCTACGACCGCATCTGGTCGCGCAAGGTGGCGGCGGCTCTCGGCTTCGAGCGCATGCGCACCATGGTCTCCGGCTCCGCCCCGCTCGACGAATCCCTCCACCAATTCCTCCGCGTCGCCTTCGCCTGCGACATCGTGCAGGGCTACGGCTTGACGGAGAGCTACGCAACAAGCCTCTGCCAGTCGCCCCACGACCTCTCCGCGGGCCACTGCGGCACCATCCACCCAGCCACCGAAGCCTGCCTCCTCTCGCTGCCAGACATGGAGTACCTGGTCACCGACAAGCCGCACCCGCGCGGCGAGCTGCTGCTGCGGGGCAACTCGATGTTCAGAGAATACTACAAGAACGCCGCCGAGACCCGCGCCGCGATGACGGAGGACGGCTGGTTCCGCACCGGCGACATCTGCACCATCGACGCCCACGGCCGCTTCACCATCATCGACCGTCGCAAGAACCTCCTCAAGCTCTCGCAGGGCGAATACGTCGCCCCCGAGCGCATCGAGGGCATCTACACCAGCGCCTGCTCGTACCTGGCGCAGGCGTTCGTGCACGGAGACTCGGTGCGGAACTCCCTCGTGGCCATCCTGGGCGTGCAGCCGGATACGTTTGCGGCGTTTGCGGCCAGGGTGCTGGGCCGGGCTGTCGATGCGGCCGATGCGGCGGCGCTGCGGGGCGCGGCCGACGACGAGAGGGTTGTCGGCGCAGTGATGGGGGATTTGGAGCGGGTGGGCAGGAAGTTTGGGCTTAGTGGGTTTGAGAGGGTGAAGGGGATTAGGTTGATGGTTGAGCCGTTTTCGGTGGAGAATGGGTTGCTGACGCCTACGTGAGTTGAAGATGGCCCACCTTTTTTTTTAAATCCCCCCCCCCCCCCCCTTTTTTTTTTTCCCCTTTTATTTTTTT